CGTATCAATAATTGTTTAGACCATGTTATGGTGAAAACAGTATATATATATATACTATATATACTATATATACAGTATATATATATATATATATATATATACTATATATACTATATATACTCAAATAATGGTACTCGATAGTGTAATCACTGATCACTCCTTAATCTTAACAAATGTTTCTTTGAACTCCAAACGCAAGCCTAATAATATTTTCATTGATAAAATAAATCATGATGATGCCATCAAATCTATAGAGTCTGCTGATTTTTCTTTTATATCTTCAACTTCAAATGCAGACACGGCTGCCGAAAAATTTGTTGATTTACTAGCCTCTGCCATAAAGAAAAATACTGTTAAAATTAAGATTCCTAGAGCGAAACGAACGCTTAAGGCCTGGATGACGCCTGGACTGATAAGGTGTATCCGTCACCGCGATAAACTTCACCAAAAACTGAAAAAGAACCCTGACAATGAAATACTTCAAATTTCTTATAAGCGTTATAGGAATTACTGCAATTCCTTGTTAAGTAAGCTCAAGCGCCAATATGAAAAAAGTCTTTTGGCAAATGCAAAAAACAGTAAAGAAACTTGGTCTGCAATTAAAGCCATCTCCGGGTGTGATACTAAAAATAATTACGCTGAAAATTTGCTCATTAAAAATCCTACAGATTCAGTGGAGAGAGCTAATTACTACTTTTCAACTTTAGGTAGAAAATTAGCTGATAAAATTCTAGCAAACGGTGTTAAACCTGCTAATGTTAATACTATGCCCTGGTCGCTTAATTCATTTGTGCTCGATTCTCCTGACGAGTTAGAAGTTGAAACAATATTGATGGGTCTTAGAAATGATTGTGCTATTGGTTGGGATTCCATTCCTGCTGTCTTCCTTAAAATGACCAAGGATAAAATACTTCTGCCACTCACAACCCTTTTTAAAATCTGTTTTGAACAAGGATGCTTTCCAAAAGTTTTTAAAAGATCTCTCATTACTCCTGTTTACAAGAATGGGACTCGGGACGTTGTTGAAAATTACAGGCCGATCTCTGTGCTACCTGCTCTTTCAAAAATCTTAGAAAGGATGCTTGATAATCGTTTGGTTAAATTTCTAAACAAATATAATATTTTATCTAATATGGAGTTCGGATTCAGAGCGGGTGTTAGTACAGAAGATGCTGTTCGTAACTTGACCGAATTTGTAACAAATAAACTGGACCATAAACAGAAGTGTGTAGGGATTTTCCTAGATTTAGCCAAAGCTTTCGACACCGTTTCGATACCAATTCTTGTAAACAAACTAGAAAAAATTGGAATAAGAGATTCTGCCCTTTCTATTTTTAAGGATTTTCTATATGACCGTGTGCACAGAGTAAAAATAAAAAAAGTTATTAGCTCAGATGCCTGTGTCACGTTTGGAGTCCCTCAGGGCAGTATCCTGGGACCAAATCTCTTCCTGGTTTACATTAACGACCTGTGCTCAATGACACTAAGTCAAGGCAAGCTATTTACTTATGCTGATGATACAGCCTTAATTTTCTACGGAGAGACTTGACCTGAGGTCCAGGAGTTTGCGATGAGGGGTCTTCAAACTGTGGCAAATTGGCTTGAGGAGAATCTACTGACTCTTAATATATCTAAGTCCACCTATATGCAGTTCCATATAACCAACACCCAAACTGTTAACGATATACAACTAACAGTACACTCTTGTGATTCACAGTCAACAGATACTTGCCTTTGCCCTAAAATGATGAAATCCAAATCAATTAAATATCTCGGAGTAATTATAGACGAGAAACTAAGCTGGCTCCCACACATAGACCTTATTTCATCGCGCACTAGGATACTTATTTGGACATTTAAAAGGCTAAGGCACATCGCTGACTTTAATTTATTAAGAACTGTATACTACGCCTTAGCACAATCAATTATAGGTTATTGTATAGTTGCCTGGGGTGGAGCATGCAAAACATTTATGATAAAATTAGAAAGAGCTCAAAGATGTCTCCTAAAAACTATGACTTTTAAACCGTTCAGGTATCCTACAAATCTGCTTTACCAAGAATGCAAACTGTTGACTGTCAGGCAATTGTACATCCAACAGTTGATCTTAATGAAACATGCTCTAACTCCTTATGACCCTGAGATCTGTCGTAATAAACGCAGAATACCGGATGTACTGGTTATTGGCAGATGTCCAACTGCTTTTTCTAGGCGACAAAGTTCATATCTATCCTCAGTGCTTTATAATAAGTTAAATAGAAATCTAAATTTTTATCCTCTTTCCAGACATGAATGTAAAGTTAAAGTTCGAGATTGGTTATTGTCCCTTGATTATAGTAAAACAGAAAATATAATTTGTAAAAATGTGTGTAAGTAATGTATGTCGTATAATAAAAGTAAAACAAAATTTATAAAATTTTAAAATTATGAAATTAAAAATAGCAATCATTGTTTAAAGCATATATTTATTCATTATAGGTTATAATGAATAAAATATATATTCTGTATGAAATTATATAATAATATATTCTATATATACATATATGTGTGTGTATGTATATGTATGTATGTATATATGTATGTCTATTAGTATGTGTATGTATATATATTACATATTGCAAACTAATTTTAATATACCTACGATTATATAAAATATAATAACGACTAAAGAGTCGCATTAAGTTCTAGTTTATGTTTCGTTGTAAATAAATACATTCAAATAGCTAAACAGTTACTTAAAAATGTTAAGCTTAGTTACTTAATTAATTCTTAAGATATATATAATTCTTAAGATACTGTTGTCACACCACTGGGAGAGGCCGCTGATCCCTAAGATACAGACTTGTCTAGTTTGGGGATCAGAGTCTTCACTTTATTATTGTACTTTTATTTAAATAAATGTTTATTATTATTAAAAAAAAATTAGCGCTATGTGCTATATTATATAAATGAACGCATCTTTATAGTGGTCCAAGGGCAACTTCAACCGCACCTTAACCTACTGTCGCTGATATACTATACTATAGATATTACAAGATATGTGCAATGTTGTATTAAACGCATCAACTGAATATCATTCAGGCCGGCGCCGTTTAGTAAAAAAGCTAGGCTTTTAAATGAACGGTCAATTAAGCTAGTTGGCTGCGACATATATTATGTACGTTAGAAATAATTCTTCTTCATCATCAACATCAACACGAGCTGTTTACAACATCCACAGCTGGTCATGGGCCTGTCACGTTATAGGGCGGATTTGCTTTTTCCCTGGTTAGTGGACAAAACTTAAGGACACAAAACATTACTACGGACAAATTTTCAAATATAACACTAACATTTAACTAATTATGTAACCATTTATTACTAAATAAGATGTTTCAAAATGTATTGAGTCTGGGCCAATCCTTTGAACACTACATGAAAAATAGACAAGTAGCCATTTTCTACCGACTTCAAAAATGAGGAGGTACTCCATTAGACTGCATGTTTTTTATGTGTGTTATCTCATAACTTTTTTCTGGGTGAACCAATTTCGATGATTCTTTTTTTTATTTGAAAGCTGGTTCTTCTCAATGATCTCATTATATCATGACCGTTACGGTTTCAGTACATGTAGAAAATATACTTTATATATATTAATATTCCACAACGCACACGAGACCATTTCGTCACGTACCATGAGGACCGATATGACATTTCGTGCATGGCACACTATGTTGCCGAACATTTTATGAAGGTAGTCAAATGCGCTATCACCGAGTATGCCGGCTTTTGTTCAAAGTAGTAGCAACAATTGTTAATTCTCTTACAGATAATTTTCTTATATATATTTAAATATATATATATATATATATATATATATATTATAACAACAACACTTTAAGGCTATCTTGAACAAAATGAGTTCCAATCCTTGAAATAGGTATCATAATCGTATATATGTATATATGTATTGAACAGGAATGATAGGGTCACTGAACGCGTTTTAGGGGTATTATATTACGTCGTTAATACATTCTAGTAGGGTGAAGTAGTAACTAGCGTATTTTTTGGTTCTGTTACGCGTTCAAAGCACACTAATACTCATAGCAGTTCATAGCCATCATAGCCGTTTAATTCATTATACTTCAATAGCTAGTTTTTGGTTGTAGTAGTCCGAGAGGTCCAAGTAAGAGTAAGAAGGCATCATCGGAGAATCATTATTCTCGCACTCTCTCTATTTTACTATCTGCTCATAAAAAAAGATCACTTTATTTTTGCCTAATTGGTGATTGAATCCTAAACCAGGTATGTCAAACACCTCAGTCCCCACCACGTAACCATGGGTGCTGCAAAAAGCCCTTAATGCCTGGAATTAAAAAAGTTAAAATGAAATACGATAATATCCGTAAGACAACTAGTCTTAATCGACATTATTTTATTTAAAAAAAATCATAAATCTCTATTTCGAAGAACTACAACAAATAAGTTAATAATATGGACAAACTTAGTCTGAAAATTATCATCATCATCATTAAAGCCCTTCATAAGTCAATTGCTAAACATAGATCCCACCAATGCCATGTATCATGATCCTGAGCCACCTGCATCCATCGAATTCCTGTAAGTCTTACCAGGTCGTCACTCCATCGAATAGGGGCCCGCCGTAAACTCTACTTACCCATACCTTTTATAATATGATAGTCACTAAAAAAGACTGTTCATTGTAAAGAACAGTCTTTTTTCATGTTCATTACAATGATGTCTTTTTTAATGTATAATCCCTTTTGTGATGTTCACTAATTTAAGTATAGGGTTTAGTAAAACAACCAACTATCAGTAAATAGGTATACAGCACAAGACAACGTCCACTCGCTACCGATGACAGATCGGCAATGCGAGTGTGGCGCCACCGTTGGTCTGTGTACTACATTTAATTATACATATATCACATCTCTTCCTTTTTATATATTAATTAATTTTATTACTACAATAAACAAACAGAACAATGTTTTATAATTTAATCAATTATCAATCTGAACTTCTTTATCCTGATCAACAACTTTCCATTGACCTTCCACTTTCTTAAGGTGTACGATATTCCTCCTGTACTCCTGACCAGTTTCATCATTTTTTATGTTTATGTCACTGCCTTTGGAGCTAATAACAGTATGGGGGGTTGGGTTAAATTCTGAAACTAATTTATTTTCTTTTATCAAGTTCTTCACGTACACTTTATCTCCTATTTCTAGTTCCCTATCAACAGCTCTTCTTTTCCTGTCTTCGTTTAATTTGCTTTTATCTTTTCTTTCTATGTTCCGGTCTCTTATTTCTTGATCATCATAACTATTTTCGAGGTCCGTTAAAAAAGGTAGTTTGTCTCTGAATTGTCTTCCATAGAACAGCTCGGATGGAGACTTTCCTGTGGAAGGATGAGGAGTACTGTTATACATCATTAGGTATTTTAACAAATCATCTTTCCAGTCTGATTTTTCGCACTGACTTATTCGCAGTCGTTTAAGGATATCCCTGTTTTGCCTCTCTACTTCACCATTTTGCTGAGGCCAGTAAGGGATCGTATTAAAAAGCGTTATTCCTTGTTCAGTACAAAATGTTTTGAATTCCTGACTACAGAATTGTCTACCATTATCGGCTGTTATACTAGCAGGATTTCCGGCTCGTGAAAAAATTTTTTTCAATACTTTTATTGTGTCTTGTGATGAAATAGATTTCATGATTTCGATCTCTTTATACCGACTGTAATAGTCAATAATCACTAAAAGATGATCTCCGCTTGGCAGTGGACCCAAAAAATCAACGGCTGTATCCACTCAGGCTTTTGAAGGGAGTTCACGCCTTTTCATAGGTACTGGTGGATTGGGTGCCGAGACTAAAGTACACCCTCTGCAGCTTTTCACGGTATTTTCAGCGTCTTTGTCTATTTTTGGCCACCAAACTTTTGTGCGCAGCCTAGCTTTCATATTGACTATACCTGGATGACCTTCATGGGCCGCTGCTAACACTTGTTTCCTCAACTTAGTAGGAATCACCATTTTGTTTCCTCTCAACAAGACGCCATCGTGTAACCAGAGTTCATGTTGAAATAATTTATAATTATTTATTGAAGCATCCCAAGCATTGTTCATCAAAGCATCTTTTACTAATTTAAACTCATCATCGTCATTTGATGCTTCAATAATCGATTTAAGAGATAATGCTATGGGTCGCGCGTGTTGAGCAATCTGGTTAACATGATGTTCATCTTCAAAAGAACTGTTTTGAATGCTGGTCGTACATAAACGTGATAATGGGTCTGCTATGTTGGATTTTCCGGGCTTATAAATAACTTTATAATCATATGCTTGTAACCGAAGGACCCAGCGCTCGATTCGTGCACAAGGCTTTGATCGCGTACCAAATATAACCTCCAGAGGTTTATGGTCTGTGATAAGCTCAAACTTTTTCCCGTATAAGTACATGTGGAAGTGTTCAATTGCCCACACTAAAGCCAATGCCTCCTTTTCGGTCTGACAGTATCGTTTTTCAGTGTCTGTCAGGCTCTTGTTTCCGAAGGCAATGATGCGGGGTCCATTATCATCATACTGAATCAGTACAGCGCCTAAACCTACCGGACTTGCATCGGCGATTACTTGGGTACGATCATTTGGGTCATAGTAGCCAAGAGTAGGAATCATGGAGAGACAATTTTTTAATTCGTCAAAAGCCGTTGAATGTTCTTTTTTCCAAAAAGCTATGATATTAGCATTTTTGTGCATTTTTTTTCGAAGCAATTGCCGAATGGGTTCCGTTAAGGTTGACAAATTGGGGATCCACTTTCCTACATAGTTGATTAAGCCCAGAAAACTTTGAATTTCTTCGATGGTTTCCGGTGGTCTAAACGTCTCGATTGCTTTTATATATTTGTCAAGTGGTTTAATACCTGATTGCGAAAGCTCGTGGCCCAGAAACTGAATAGACTTTGCATTAAAAATACATTTATTTTTATTCAGTAAAACATTATTGTCTTTAAGTACTGTTAAAACATGTTGAAGCCTGGTATCATGTTCTTTTTTATCACGTCCAAAGACAACAATATCATCTATGAAGTTTACAACTCCTTCGCATGGCAATAACATTTTCTCCATAATTATTTGGAAATGTTCAGGTGCGCAAGATATCCCGAACATTAACCTTTTGTACCGGTAAAGCCCTTTACTAGTGATAAAAGTTGTGATATTTCTGCTATTTTTATCTAGTTCAACCTGATGAAAAGCATTCTTAATATCCAACTTTGAAAAATATGTTGCTTTGCAAAATTTGGGAATAAGTTGTTCCATGGTAGGCAAGGGATGATTTTCTCTAATAATTGCTTTGTTAGCAGCACGCATATCCAAACAAATTCGAATATCATCATCAGACTTTAGAATCGGTACCATCGGAGAAACCCAAGAAGATGGGTTATTTACAGGTTCAATGATGTCCATTTTAACTAGTTCGTCTATTTTCTTATTTATCCTTAATTCCAAAGGAATTGGGACTCGTCTATAAGGTTGACAAACTGGAGGAACAGTTTTGTCAATAGTTATGTTTAATTGAACATCTTTGAACTTGGGAAATTGTTTTTCCTCAATGGAATTCACGACAAAGCCTAGTTTTAGCACATCAAGGGAAATGGCGGTTTCTTTACCCAAAAGATTCCTTGAACCATTTTCTATGACATAAAATTTTGTTAATAATGATTTAGGACCAACTTTTATTTGTGGATCAAATGAGCCTAACACTTTAAGGGGATGTTTGGCACCATAAGCCAGGAACGTTTTATCTGAAGACTTTTGTTGGTTGGAAACTATAACTTTAGATCGTTTCATGTATTCCCAAGTTTTATCATTAATAATATTTGATCTACTACCGGAATCAATGAGCATTTTTATATTTACACCACCTACCTGACAATCTATTGTTGCGTCGTCGTCGATATGGAAAATATAGTCTACAGATGCAGACTCTCTATTTTTTGTGGTTTCTGTCTTGGGTTTCTTAACTTTATGGTTTTCATTTGACGAGAGGTTGGTACTTTTTCTTTTATTGGCCCTTGTTCTACAGTGTTTCTGAAAATGACCTTTGAACCCACATTTCATACAATTCACATTTATAGCAGGGCAGGAACTATTGTCATTTTTGTGACTTTTACTGCCACATCGGCTACAGAAATTAACCTCTTTTTTAGAATATAGTTTTGTTGTTTTAGTGTCAATTTTATTTAGGGTGGTAGTTGTTGTGCTCTGCCTATCGTGAAACTCGTTTAGCTGCCGTTCTACGGTTTCTAGGGAATTTGCTGCCACGATTTTTTCAATGGTTGCCGTGTCACCAAGTACCAAAATGTTCTTCCTTAATTTGGTCGAGCTACACTTTTCTATTATTTGGTCAATAAGATTTTCGTCTGCATTAGCGAAATTGCATTTAGAACTTTGACGTCTTAGACGAACCAAGCATTTTTCAAACTTCTCGTTTGGTTCTTGTTTCATTAACCGAAAAATGTGCCTTTCAAATAAATAACTTTGTTTGGGGGAAAAATACTCGTCCAACTTTTTAATTGCTGTGTCATACACGCCAGTCGCATCAGAATTAGTCACGTGGGCACCAGGTATATTGAAATAAATGTCTTGTAACGCCATGCCTACGAAATGTAGTAGCATGGCGCGTTTTGTAATTTGAGCATTGGTATTGGTTGCTACGAAGTATATTTCTAGGGCACGTTTCCATTTGTCCCACCGGAAACTTATGGAGGTTGGATCGCCTTCACAATCGAATGGTCCTATTGCTGGGACTTGTGATTGGAACATTTTTGGACGATCTGCAAATAAGTAAGGGAGGGGACTTGTAAGCATACTAATGTAGTAAAAGAATTCCTAGATCGATTTTTTTTAAGTAGCGTAAAATAAATGGTTAATATTAAAATTATCAATATTCATATTGAATAAATTTTATTGGCTTTAGCAAAAGAATAAGCCATTTTATTAAGAAGTATAAGCCATTTTATTTTTATTTGAGATTGACTGTAACCAGCATTTAATATTTTGTGACTAGCAACATCGATACAGCAATAGGGTCCACACTATGCACTAGCTTGCTACATATTTCTTATTCTGTGATCCGTACCGTGAAAGCTAACCGTAGAGATTATAATATACTCCTCGGTGAACGCAATCTCATATCATGTACATAAACAAGCATATTAGTCTGCGACACAGATTACTGTATAGTCTGTCTCAATAGATTACTGTATGGTCTGTGACGACTATAGATCCACACAAAGATCTGTTGATATTTGGTAAGTACTCACTACACTATCTGACTTGATATTATTACAAACAAACAGTCATGACACAAAATATTATATTATTATGATGTGCAGCGATATTAACAAATAATGACACTAAATAAAGAAGATATATAAATGTTTGTTTTATAACGATAGACAGTGCAAAATACATTCACTTTGTCCTATTTTTTTTTTCATTATATTACTTATCCATAACGGGTTTGACACTTGTTTAGTTTTAACAGTAACTGGAACATAACTCCCAATTTATTGAAGTGGTACTATGTTAAACTGGTAACACGATTCGTTACAATGTTTGGTTATTTTAACAAAATATTTTTCGATAGGAATCATTAGCAAACAGATTTGGTAAACAATACTTGTATTATAATCATAGTTGAGTACTTTGCAAACACTATTTAGATATACAATAAGGATATTAGTTTACTTTTGTCGAAATAAGACTCGAAATGAAATGCCGTAATCCCTTTCGTTACACTAAATAAATGACGAAATGGCTTCGATGAGATTTAAACAACACATTCCTGGTCAATCGCCACCAAAGTGGCACGGTAACGGCACAATAAACGACGAACTATTTAATTTTGAATAAACAAGTAATATAAATACTCAATATTAATATAATTTCAAAGTATCCATCACTTATTTCTTTTTTTTTTTGAAAAAATGTATGTAAAAAAAAAAAATGTACTGTTTTAATTTTGTTGCTGACCAATATCCGTAAACTGGTTTAAAATTTTACCGAAAATTTTACTTACTGCGCTTTTACTCGTCGCCAATGTGATGTTCACTAATTTAAGTATAGGGTTTAGTAAAACAACCAACTATCAGTAAGTAGGTACACAGCACAAGACAACGTCCACTCGCTACCGATGACAGATCGGCAATGCGAGTGTGGCGCCACCGTTGGTCTGTGTACTACATTTAATTATACATATATCACACCTTTTATTCGTTTACCTAAAAATATTTTTCAATATTCGTCCTTTTTGTTGTACTTTCTTTTTTGTATTGTTCACCTCATATAATTACGTGGGATGCTATATTTATTAATTTATTTTACTGTTTAGTTTTTTATTAAAGGTAAAATATTTTTGTAATTTTAAAGAAAATAACATCGCCTCACCCTCTTACAAAACAATTTTAACTGCATTCAAACGTCGAATTCTTTACTAAACTCCGCCAAGCATACTGTGGAAAAGACATAAAAGAATTTTCAACGTTTAAAAGTCAGCCACAAATAGCTGACTTGGCTATAAAAATTACAATATATTGAAACAAATCAAGCTAGACTTGAAAAACTAACCCTGATGAAATCAAATCTTTGTAAGCCTCAAGCATTTTTGTGTTATGTGAATTCCTTTGTTTGATAGTACATTCTTGTATTTTGTT